GAAATTAGAAAAACCAAGCAGGGAGTTAAAGCTGCAAGTATTAAATGGAGTAACAGGTGCATCCGCTATTGTCGTCTATGATTAAAAAACTGGGAAAGACATAAACTAATTGTATTGGCTAGCTGAAAAATATATATATATATATATATATAATACATGTATACACAAAAATATATATTTTTGGAGCAGCTCAAATATATATTTCTCTAGAAGAACTTAAGAAAATAATTGCTACTAAACTATACTAATATATAATCATAAAAAGTATTTGGGGTCCAGCCCCATTTGTTTGAAGAATTAAATATATTGATTTTAAAAATACCAGCCTCCTTATGCTATAAATAAATTCATTTCTTAAAATCAAGCAAGTAGAAGAAAAATAATTTGCGGAATAAAAATAAAGTGCGAACAGTGTTATAATGAGATGTATCTCAAAGTAATGTTCTATCTTCCAAGAGCTTGTTTGGCTAAAAAATTACTTTTTGGAAAATTTAATATGTTTGGTCAAAATGAAAAATTGCTTTTGAGCAGCAATAAGAGCAGTTTTGCCCTTTGGGGAGAAGCTACAAATTCTAACTTCTTTCAAGAAGCAGAAACAAAAACAAATAATTAATTTATTTAAGATAAAAATATCCTTGCATTAAATTTATATTTTTCAGATTATCTATCATTAATTTAATATTTTTATTTTCTTTTTCTCTTGTTACCATACATTTCTTCTCGTTTGTATTCTATCATATTTTTATTCTTTCTCCTTTTTCTCTTTGGAATATTCTCTCTAATATAAATAGATCTCTTCTTTTATATAATGATTTATAAGAGTAGATTGTTAATTTATGATATGATATATTTTAATATTTTAAATCATCATGTAAACAATAAGTAATACTAGATACCCCAATATTATCGCTTTGGAATAACTATATTTATTATTTAAAAATTTTAAATTATATTTTATTATAATTAAATTCATTTAACTCTTTTAAATAATACTAATTGCAAGCTAAGCTTTACGGTTCTTTTTCGTAATTTGATACTTAAAAATACTTTTTGGAATGATAGGCCAAACACAATTTTCTTGCAAAAATACATTCAATGAATTGGCCAAACACAAACTGTTACTTTGCAAAAGTAACTTGGCCAAACAGGCTCTAAGTCATGTTAGCAGTCTCGATCAAAACAGTCCAAATCTCTATTAAATGACTTCAAATTTTATATACAACCTATTTCTAACAAGTCTAACTAACACCCAACTCCAAATTTCTCACAAGACTAGATTCAAAATTTAAACCCATTTATTTAAGCTTGTTCAACAATGGTGGATCAGTTCTCTTCATTAAATGACTTTAAATTTTGTATACAACCTTCTTATACTAGTTCAAACAAGTCTAAACAACATCCAATCTAAATTTTTCATAAGCCAGATTTGAAATTTAAACCCACTTATTTAAATTTGTTCAACAATGGTGGATTATCTTAAAAATCTAATTTTTACCACCCAAATGGATTTTGTTTGTTAAACTAATCTTTGAGTCACAATTACTAATTCGAAGATTAGATTAAAAGCTTGAGTATTTAAAAAAAAATTAAATAGTAATTTCGAGAACCTATTTGGAGTTGAATGTTGAATCTTAGCCTATTATTTTTGGGCTACAACTTTGCAAAGTTAAATATGGGTCACTTAGTTGCAATATATGTGTGTGAGTTATATTTATGTGTAATTCTCCCTTTGTTATCGTTAGTTACAGTGATTTAATTTTTATTCTTTATTATTATAACTTAACGTGAATATTATATTTGTGGTCCGGTCTTTTCCTGGATCTCACGCATAGCGAAAGTATAGTGCATCGGGCTGTTTTTTTATTTATTTATTATATTTGTGTACTATTTTTCTATAGTAAATGCAATGATAGAGTTAATATTATTGGTCCATCTATAAAGCAGAAAATAATGAATGAGAAGAAGGGCATTATCTTGAGTCGTTGTGTTTGGTAGTAGGTCTCTTTCCAAGTTCTGTTGACGATGCAAGCTGCTATATTTGCTGATGACATCCACGACAATGTAAAATGGTCGTGATTCATGTTCTTTGTGTACTTTTAGTTTTGGATTTAGCTTGTATACATTGATAAGTAAAGAATTTTTATACTATTAGGTTAATTTAATGGACTGTGGTCATATGTTACTCTTATATTTAGGTTAATATGTCATACTTGCTATGAATATTTATCGCGTAAAAATTATTGAGTATATTTTAGTGGGCGATGGTGGCCGGCCCAAAGGTTCGGGTTAGATTGGATGTTTTATTGTCACAAAAAATTCAATAGTGACTTTATTGTGTTATTTTCATTACCATATAACTCAAGACTCGTAGACATCCACCAAGTAAAACTGGCCAGACATCCTGGAGCAGTAAGTGGCCGTTTGGACATAAGAATTGTAAGATTTCGGATATTTCCGTGATAATGGTATTTGAAAATTAGAGTTGTGTTTTGGACATGAATACAATTTTGGGTTGTTTTTGAATTTTTGTGATTGAACTGAAGTGAAAATTTTGAAAAACAGTTTTCTAGAGTTTTACAAATTTTCTAAAAAATTCGAAATTCATTTTCAAGTAAAAATTGAAAATTTTATGGCCAACAAGTAAAGAATTTTCGAAGAGAATTTTTTTATTTTATGGCGAAACGGGCCCTAAATAGTTTGATTACCCTCCATTAGACAAAAAAAGAAGACAACAGAGAGAGTGAGAGAGTAGTAGTAGTCCTTAAAAGTGAAGCAGATTACTGTGAGTGACAAGATGTTAGTAGCAAAGGCAGCCTAAATTACAACCCATCGAGACGCGGTCTTTTTCCGAATCTTGTGTAAACGCGGAATACTTTATACATTCGAATATTCTTTTATTTTAGAAAGGGAATATTCCAAAATTACAATTCTTTTATAATGGGATTCATGGGCTGTGCTCAAGAAATTTGCAAAATTAGAGGCAGATGATCTAAGCCTCGCAACAAAACACTAGCATGCATATTAAGAACTTCCCATATGAATTAGCTCTTTTTCTCATAATCAGCTACTCCAAACTTTAGTAACATGGCTAGGAAGTGAAGCTCGCTTTCTCTTGTGGCGTACTATTATTCTCGAGAACGCCAAAAAAGAAAGCGAGCTATGATTAGGCATTAGCTCACTGCCGCTGAGGCCATTTTTAGAGTATAAGAAAAGTCACTTGAAAGAGTACTGGTGAGAAAAGTGGAAGAGAAGAAATGAACATTTATAATAGTGAGAGCCTCTGTATATGACTATGAAAGCAGCTATCTTTTCAAATTGTTGTAAATTAAATCCTTAAATTAGGAACATAGCAGCCATCGCGCCTGGTTGCCTTACTTGACTAAATACTTGATTGATTATTGGTCAGTCGATTTATATATAGTTGTTTAACATTAGATTTGTGGATGGTTCTAAGGATATGCGATACAATTTGATATAAATCGCGTAGAGAAATGAAAATATGTGTATTGTTGACTATAAGAACGAAAATAATAAACAAAAATAATGAATAAGTAAAACAAGCACAAGAGGATTACTATCAATATCTAGAGGAAGTGATCTTTTTTTTATGTTCCCCCCTAGCTTACAAGGATTCCCCCTTTTATAAAAGAGGGTCATTACCAAAAAATAATAAAATAAAACATGTAGTGGAAGACCCATGATGACTTGTCTCTTCCTTGATTCCCGCCAAGATTCTCTTTGTTGGTGTGGTTGCAACGACTCTTGTCTGTGAGCTCGATACTAGCTCGAACTCGTTATTGGGTCGGGCCCTTCGGTCTTGGATCGAGTTCAACCTTCGAGATGGGTGTCGCGCATTTCTGACCTCGAAGCAGTGCCTTGCGGATCGATTCGGTCACGGGCTCGATAGGATTATCGAGCCGCCTCCTCGAGCGAACTTCGGGCTCGAGGTTCGTTAGTACCGACCTTAGAACTCACTCCCAAAATCTCATTCCGACTTCTTAACACTCGAACTCGATCGAACGTAGGAAGGCCGAAATCTATTTCGACTGTATACAGATAGTCCCCTCGTTTCTCGGAAAAGGATGTGGCGAGAAACGATATGATTTCCCAGCAGATCGATCAGATATACACTGATGTTTTTGTCGATCCCGACCATGACGTATGTAATGCTCGATCATCTTATGTGTCTTTATAATCCCCGACTTTATCGAGGATACCCGAATTTTTTCTACCCCGGTGGGAATTTCCAATTACCTTCGGTCTTTGGTGACCGGAGAAGATCAATCAGTGATAAATGTAGAGGGGCTTCCTGTCTTTTCAACGAGGCCCAACATGCTTTGAATCGGATAACTTCTGATGGCGTTTTCGCCGCTTCTGTACAAAAAATTTTGTAAATACAAATCTTTCTTCTCCTTTTTTTTGAAGAAAAATGGCCTTTCAAACTAAATAGACAGTTTGAATTTAAATCTCTGTTGCCTTCGGGCCTCGTGGGTAGTCCCCTTTGCTTTATCGGGCTCGAGCGTCCTTCAACTTAAATAGTCAAGTGTTTGTTTTAATTCGAAGAAATGAGTAGTTTTGATCGAAATAATGTAGCCCGTAGGCGTAATAGTCGAGCGAGTGATGGCTCGAACTCAAAATAAAGGTAGCCCGTAGGCTTAGCAGTCGAGTGAATGATTCGAACTTGATGCAATGTAGCCCGCAGGCGTAATAGTTAAAGTAGCTCGTAGGCTTAACGGTCGAGTGAGTGATTGCTCGAACTCGAAATAAAGGTGGCCCGTAGGCTTGGCAATCGAGCGAATGATTCGA